ATTCACTATAAAATTTACGATTTAACTGCGAAAAACGACATTTTTGGTGCTTGTTAACATACTTTCCTCGGCAAGTATACAGGGTTACAGATGAAAATAAAGAACATGTAACGTTAAACCACTCGGATAGAACGACAAATGGCGAATTGTTTATTGGGATACATGATAGAGTCATTACATTAGTAATGACTAATAGACTAATGTATCTTTAGATTAACGTAGATATTTATCTCTTGTTTATTAGATTAAACATTAAATGCTCTCTATTTCCATCTGAAACCTGGTAAAACATATGTTGCAAATTGTTCACGAACAATATAAATATTAGGATATTTAATTCGAAAACAAAATATTATTATGTTAACACACACGTGAAGCTATACCTACATTTTCATGTCGGTGTATCTGTGTACCCGTATATTTCTATACCCGTGTACCCGTGTAATAAGAAATACATGGATATATTAACAACACGTGTACATGTATATTTTAGATACACGTGTAATGGGGATTTCTAATTTAAGACACTGTTACGTGGTAGAGTCATTAACAATATCGCATTTCCAGTGTAGAGAATACTGCATCATATTGGCACATTCATGCTTTTGATACTTGTTAGAAATTTTCGAATTTGTATAATTTCATACATAAACAGATATCAAATAAGTAAACAGTTTCTATGCTTCGCTTCTTATTTCTGTAAAAATAAACGGTATAATAAAACAAAAAAATGAGATACAATCAATAACAATATTTAAAAAAGATCTTGTTTCAAGCATTTAGAATTATTCGGAGAACAAGTATTTATTTGAAAATTAATGGAATGTGTACTATTTGAATTAAACATAAACTGTACTCATACTGTCGAAGCGAAGCATGTTATGCTGCGTTGTATTACAAAAATGTGTACTTAGTCTGTCAATTTTTTGTACACAGAATTTAACATTATCTGTAACACTTCTTTACGCTTAAGAAGAAAGACAGTGCAGCGACACTTTTACATTGAACACTATTAATTAAATACATTTTTTTGCAATTTTCTTTTACATTTTGTTGGTCCACTTTATAAAATATAAATATACGTCCCTTTTATCATCATTATAAATATCATAACTATATAATAATAAAATATTAATCAACATTATGTTTTCATATATGTATATCATGCACCTGTAATACTTCATAAACAAGCATATTATTTGTCTATAATTTCGATTCGTACATGGGGTTAATTATTAGTGTCACAATGGATCAATCTTTCAACCATAAAATTTTTCATTTATAAAATAAACAATCCAACTTTCCTACATTCTGCATGTCTCAGATCAATTACATAAAATAAAAGGACACACTCAGTGGAAGCTGAAATTGGTAGACTCTTTGTACTACTCTTTATATATTAGTACATTGTTTGTAACGCTGTATTTGTTATGGAAGGTCTGTTGTAAGATTTCTTTCCAACCAATCTGTATAACATGTATTGATTTGCATTATTAATTTTTGGACCATTAGCATACTACAGTTTTCTTTTTCGTTGCGTGAGTGGATACAATGGCACTAATACTGATCTTGTTAATCATTGCCATTATTCAAAATACTTTGTTACCAATCACATACTTCACGTATTTCAAATACATACAGAAGATTCAGTTCTCCTTCAACAAAAATGTCTATATCAGATTTTGAGACTAAACTTTCTAATATATATTATTAGTAAAACATGTAATAGATAGTTAATATTGTTTCATATAAAAATCCATATGACAAGATTTTCATTGCATTATGTTTGGCTTGATATATGAATGTATTCAAGTTATTCAATTGGGTAAAAAATTTGACATATTATCTACATTAATGTCCATTCTTAAGGGAACCTAGTCCTAATTTTTCTTGTAACACGTGCAAAGATCATAACTTCCTAATACATGAATGCAGATTGGCAATTGATGTTTAAGATTCGATAACAATCCCCTGTAGAAAAAGGTATTACAGAGGATTCTTAACCATTATATTAATTCTTAATAATAATTTCAGTGGCCACAAAGTTATTCCATAAAATATTCCTAAATTGTATAATTCTATGTACAATTTCATAAAATAATATTAATTTAATATATAGATTTTTATATTATAATATTGCATGACGTATTACAATATATTATTTAATTACTTATATTATTTAAATATTTCATTCAATTATTAATGATGTGTATTCATACATCAGATATGAGAGAATAAATTCCATATTACAGACAATGAATGTTGGCACAGACAGTGGCTGGGTTAAGGCATTTTAGGGTGTTTAATTCTTCACAGTACCCTCCAGCGTAACTATCTTATCACACCCTCTTTCCTTCCCAAAGTCCCCTATTGTATTTTTTATTTTCATTTCTACATATACAATACCTCAGATGACTGTGTGATTCTCACTTTTAATATTGAATCTATTCTTAAAGAATACGCTGTTTCAGTGAGCATTGGAGTGTAATAGTTGGATTTGGTAGAACTCTCACAGCGGTTTTGTAAAATTCGCTGGGAACATTCCCTTCTCATCCGTACCTTCCTTGATACCCATTAACCAACCTTGCTCCTAAAGTAACAAAATACTGTTATGTAATATCAAAATATATAATTACAATTCTACATTGTGTGCATATAGTATATTGTCCAATAATATAGTATTGTCCAATAATACAGCTAATAATAATATTTTAGTAAAACAAGTTTA